AGAGACAAGAGACAGAGTAACAGAGAGGAAGGAGAGAAAATGGAAGGAGAGAGACAGAGAGAAAGGGAGAGACAGAAACAGAGACAAAGAGGAAGGGGAGAGAAATGGAGGAGAGAGACAGAGAAATAGGAGAGAGAGAGGAGAGAAAGAGACAGAGAGAAATGGGAGAGAAAGGGAGGAGAGACAGGAACAGAGAGACAGAGAAGAAAGGGAGATAATGGGAGGAGAGAGACAGACACAGAGAGAAAGGAAGGAGAAATAGGAACAGAGACAGAGACAGAGAGACAGAGACAGAGAGACAGAGACAGAGAGACAGAGAAGAAGGAAAGAGAAAAGGAGGAGACAGAAACAGACAGAGAGAAAGGGAGAAGAGACAGAAACAGAGAAACAGAGAGGAAAGGGAGAGGATGGGAGGAGAGAAATAGAAACTGAGAGGAAGAGAGAAAGAGACAGAGAGAAAGGGGAGAGATTAAGAGAGATAGAAAGGGGAGAGAAAAGGAGGAGAGAGAGAGAAAGAAACACAGAAAAGAGAAAGAAAAAAAGCCAGAGAGATACAGAGAAAGGGGAGAAGAGAGGGAAGGAGGGGAGAGAGACAGAGAGAAGAGAGAGACAAAAAGGGAAGAGAAAAAAAGACAAAGAGGAAATCTGACAAAAAGAGAGGGAGACAGAGACAGGGAGATACAGAAAAAAGAGAGAGAGAGAAAGAAGAGAGCATCTTCTCATGAGAAAACAGCTTATTTCTCCCTCTGGCTTTCACCAAGTCTCACAGAACATCAGAGAACAGAAGGGGCCTTCCAGATCAAACCCCTCATTTTACAGAGAAGGAAACTGAGGCCCGGAGAGAGGAAGGGTTTTGCCCAAGGTCCCTCCCACAGGGAGTCAGTGACAGATTGTGGACCCACGTCTCCTGGCTCAGCCCTCCACCAGCTCCCCGTCCCTCCCCAGCCCAGAGCCCTGGTCCTGCCCAGACACTGGACTTACTTGTTGGCTTGACGTAAACCTTCAGTTTTAAACAGGACCTGTCCACCATGTTCGGGGGAGTGGCAGCTACGAGAGGGAAAGGGAAGATGAGACAGTTATAGGGTTAGTGAGGACGGACACCAGGTGTGACTGGGTGGGGGGAATCCTAGCATCAGCCAAGGTCCTTTACAGCTAAAGGACCAGGACCATATCTCACAATCTGCTTCAGAGAGGTACGTCACACAGGAAGTGCAGGAGTCCAGGTGTGAACCTAGGTCCATCAGCTAGTGCTCTATTCACTCTGTTATACCCCACAAAGTCCCGCCTTGGGGCTTTTGCCTATGTTGTTCCTTCTGCCTGGGATGCCATCTCCACCCTCTCTCTGATTACTGAAAACATGCCCATCCTTGAAAGCCCCAAACCAAAGCCTCCTCCTCCAGGAAGCCTCCTCCCACTCCACTGACTGTTATGTATTATTGTAACCTGTTGAATAAGCCAAGGCTCTCTGTGAGACTGTAACAACTGAGCTTATCCATCCTCTTATCTCTGTCAGCACCGAGCTCACAGTAGGTGCTTTACAATTTTTTTGCTGAATGACTAGAACACCAAAGGAGTGTTGATCTGGAGCTGAAGAGGGCACTTTAGACGTGCTCTAAGTCAACTTTTCCATTTTGCAGATGGGGAAACTAAGGCTCAGAGAAAGGAAGGGATCTGCCTCAAGTCACCCAGCTAGCCAGAACTAGCAAATCCAGGCCCCCTGACCAGGTTTCTTTCCCCACAGATGAGGTCTTATTCTGTTATTCATTCCAGGCTGGCCTCAAACCGTGGAAGGAGGCCTTGGACATCCAGAACAGGGGAGCCATCAGAGAAGGAAGACAAAGCCGTCTTGTTCCCCAACCTCTCCCTCCACAAGAGAATGGGTCTCTCAGACACTGCTTCCCATCTGGTTTGGCTTCCCGAGTCCAGGCCCCGCCAAAAGGTCACCTTCTTGGGCCACAGCTCCTTGAGGGAGGTGATGGAGGGGCTGGGACGTGGCCCTGCTGATGGCCCAGCTGACACTGATCTTTCCCGTTTCGTAATCCCAAAGTGCAGTCCGTCTACACCCCATTCTGATGCCAATCATTCCCTACCACGTATACTTATCAGGTATCTCCTATCACACCAGTGGCTTGATATAGGGGAAAGACTACAGGACTCAGAGCTACAAAGCTGGGATCTACATCCCAGGTCGCACACAAATTAGCTGTGTGACCCTTGACAAGTCGCTGAGACTCATTTTCCTCATCTGTAAAACAGAAATAATAATAGCACTTACCTCATCAGGTCAGATGAGCTAACATACGAAAAACACTTTTCAAAGCTTAAACGCTATCGAAACGCTAGCTATTATTAATTATTATCATCCTTCCAACAGGCCTGTGAGGTGAGGAGTGCAAGGACACTATTCCCATTCTACAGATGAGGAAACAGGCTCGAAGGCGCTCAAGAGACTTCCCCAACGCCGGCCGCTTCAGTAAGGGATGGCTCCTCTCACCTGCAGCCAGCCCCAACTCAGGCAGACACACAGGCCCAGCTGGGCTCCTGCCGCCCCACAGAGCGTGTCAGACTGTTTACTGAAGGAAGCAGCAGGGGCCTCAGCCTGTTTTGGGGTCCCTGCTGATGCAGCTGAGCTGGAAAAATAAATAATCAAACAGCTTGTCTGCCACGCCCCCTCCCCTCCCCTTTTCCATCAGGAAAGGGATAGTTTCCCGGGTCCCTCTGACACTCTGCCATTTGTCATTATTAAGAGATTCTGATACCTCCCCGACCACTCACTCTGGGCTTCCATAGGGGACCAAAGGTCAGCAGGCCGGTGACCTTGCTCCCAATACTTCATCCCACCTACAATCCCACCTACAGCCACAGGCAGTAGTGTTGGGGAGGGGGCGGTTTGCTGGCAGTGATGCCATTGTTCAATCATTTTCCAGTCATATCCAATTCTTCATGACCCCATTTGGGGTTTTCTTGGCAAAGATACTGGAGTGGTTTGCCATTTCCTCCTCCAGCTCATTTGACAGATGAGGAAACTGAGGCAAACAGGGGTAAGTGAGTTGCCCAAGGTCATGCAGCTAGTGTCTTGGGCTGGACTGAATTCATCTTCCTGTATTGTCCTATTCACTGCCCCACCTTGCTGCCCCAGTGGAAGCCTAATAAATGTTTATTGACAAAATAATGGAGAGTGACTGAAAGTGAAGTTGGGAGACACTTGAGTGAATTCTTATACCCTTACTTGCTGTGTGATGTGGGGCAAGTCTTTTAACCACTGTAAGCCTTGGTTTATTCATCTGTGAAACGGGGATAATCATAGTTGAAACATCACTTTCTCACAGGACTTGTGGGGTAGGAACTATGACGTAGACGTTTAGAGCAGTGATTCTCAAAGTGTGGTCCAGGGTCCCCTGGGTGTCTTGAAACCCTTTCAGGGGTCCCTGAGGCCAAAACCATTTCTCTAAAAATCAGATATTTTAATTTCTAATAAAATAAGTTCAAATAGATAGAACACATAGAAACAAAAGCTCTTTACAGAGATCTTCAATAATTTTTAAGAATGTAAAGGAGTCCCAAGATCAAAAGGTTTGCGAACCACCGCTCTATAGAAATTGTCAAAATCATAAGCACTGAACTGGATGGACCTTTAGAGATCAGTGAATCCAATGTGTTCATTCTACAGATGGGGAAACTGAGGCCCAGAGAGAGGAAGGGACTTGCCCAAGGTCTCGTAAAGCCTAAGGAAGAAAAGGCCAACCACCATGACAGCCCCAATGCGTGACAGATGAGGCTTTCCCTCCTTGGGGACTTCCCAGGCTTATCACCAGCCGGGTAAGTGCCGGGAGCCAGGAGCTTCAGGTCGGCTGGGGTGGAAAGCACGTTCTCTGAGCCTGAAGTGTTGTTAATTTCAAGCTCCGTTAGCAGTGTCAGCAGGAAGCCCGGCGGGAGCCCCAAAGACGACATTTGAGTCTCCCGCAGACGCTCATCTCCACCCGCGATACAGGAGAGTCGGGGCATCAGAAACCATGGCGGAGCACAAAAGCCAACAGCATCCAACTGCCCATTGATGAGGCGCCCACGGGCTGAGTCATCCAGCCAGCAGTGGATCCACAGCCCAAAGGGACCCGGCACAACCTCGCCATTTGAACAGATGGAGATACTGAGGCTCAGATCAGAGAAACGAGTTACCCAAGGTCAGAGCTGGGAACTGAATCCAGGTCGCTCGACGCCAGACTCATAGATTTAGAGCTGAAAGGGACCTTGGAGGCCACTGGGTTCCAAACCCCTCATTTTGCAGATGAGGAAACCAAGGCTGAGAGAGGTTTCTTACTGCCCAGGGTCACACGACTAATACATATCTCAGGCAGGATTTGAACTCAGGTGGATTAAGTTGTTTCTCCTCTCCTGGCTTCAGTTCTGTATTGGCCAAATGAAACGGCCGAGCTAAATGACGGACTGCCAGATCAGGAAGTAGTTGACCAGCCTGCAAGTCTTTCCTCTGACCCCACCTTGCTAAGTGACCTTCAATCTTCACAAGCCTCAGCTTCAAGTAGGAGGGTTGGATGAGATAGTCACTCGGGTCCCTTCCAGCCCCAAATCTATGACGGCTTCTCTGACTCCTTCTGGGAGAAATTGTGAATCAGAAAGCACTTCTCTGGGCATGTGGGGCCCACGATCATCCTCCCCCCTGCTTTCAAACCTCCATTTGCAGCCTATTTCATCTGGTGTCTTAATCTCTATTAAATTTCCACTTCTCAGGAGGGGTCGGAAAATGTCACTTCTGTAAAAAGAAACTGGTGTCCAAGACTCCCTCCCGATTGCGGCATGTTTTTAATTACTGCTCTTTCCCACCCCCTTAGATTATGGCCCCCGGTATCATCAAGACTGACTTGACTGCATGGGGGTAAGTTGGACATCACAAGAAGTGTGAAAATGTCAGCCAGACGCACCCAGGAGTGGACGGGCAGGCCAGGCTTGGGCCTCGGCTACTTAGGATTCAGGGCACACCTGCCACTCAAAATTCCGCCCCTTTGAGGAATCTGACTTTAGTGGGAAGAATAAAAGGGCATTTACCTCCTTCTCTGGCTTGGAAATTGGAATTCTCTTCCCCCCACAGGCTCTGTGTGGCATCTGCTGCCTCGACTTCTGGGTCAAGGTGAAGAGCGGGGATACAGATGGGGGGCGAGGGGAGCTCACTTGGGGCTGACGACCCTTTGGGGACCCTGGAAGACTAGGGCTCCCTTGCCCAATATTGCCTCTCTCCAGTTCTGGAAGGTTGGGGTGCTCTCACCTGACACTGGCCCTCTTTAGTCCTGGAAGGTTGGGGTGCCCTCACCTGACACTGCCCCTCTCCAGCCCTTGAAGGTTGGGGTGCCCTCACCTGACATTGGCCCTCTTTAGCCCTGGAAGGTTGGGGTGCCCTCACCTGACACTGCCCCCTCCAGTCCTGGAAGGTTGGGGTACTCTCACCTGATATTGGCCCTCTTTAGCCCTAGAATGTTGGAGTGCCCTCACCCCACACTCTCCCCTCTCAAGCCCTGGAAAGAGACTGGTCAGTGATACAGGGGTTGGTGGAGAAGCTCCAATCTCTGCTAGGGGCTAGTGGTTATAAGGAAATCTACCCGGGGTGGGGAGGGGATCCTGTTTCAGAAAGAACTGCCCCCTGGACCTGGCCTGAGAGAATGCGGAGATCTCAGTCTTCTTGTCCAAAGCAGGAATTAATTCCTCCCGACGACTTCTTGGAGAGAGAGGTTCTTGCTTGAGTACCTCCAGTGATGATGAACTCACTACCTATTTGGTCCATTTCCTTGTTGGGAAAGTCTGATTAGTAGAAGGAACAGAATCTCAGAACCTCAGAGTTGGGAAGGACCTCCAACGACATCTAACCTAACCCAATTGTGGCAAGAATGCCCTTGACGAGAAGCCAGCCAATCTATTTTCAAAGACCATCAGTGATGAAGACCTCCCACCAGACCTTTCTCCCCACTCCACCCCACCCCCTCAATGCTCCTGGCTCTGCTCTGGGGCCAAGCAGACCACACAACAGTCTTTCAGATACTTGATGGTAAGAATCCTATCTTCCCAGTGTCTTCTGTTCTCTCCCATTCCATCACTGATCCTCACGAAGCCTGGCTTCCAGGTTCCTCACCATCCTCAGACGCCTCCAGTTTATAATATCCATCTTAAACGGTAGTCGCTGACCCCCCACACCACACTTCCAGAGAGGTCTGCCCAGGGCAGATGACGTCAGGGACAACAAGATGGCGGTTATCACCTCTCTCATTCTGGACCCAATGCCTCTCTCTCCAGGCGGTCCTTTTCTCATCTTTTTTTCTACTGCTTTTTGTACCCTTGGACAGCCGTAACATTCTAACGGATGTTAGAATGGCTTCTCTTCCCTTGCAAACAAACTCAGTTACAGAATTTGAGAGCTGGAGGAATCTCAGGGGCCAATTAACTGAAAAGTGTGGCCACCATGGCACAGCGGACAAGCAGTCACTTCACCTCAGTCCACTCCAAATTGCGACAAGTCTAATTGTTAGGAACTTCTTTCCTTCCTTCCTCCTATCTTCCTTTCTTCCTCCTAACCTTCTTTCCTTCCCTCCCTCCTTCTCTCTTCCTTCCTTCCTTTTTTTCTTTCTCCTTTCCCCTCTTTTCTTCCCAATCTCTCACTGCTCCTAGTTTTGCCTTCTGAGGCCCAAAAGAGCAAACCTGTTTCCCCAATTCAATGCACTTTTGGTGGCGCAGTAGATAAAAGCACTGGGCCTAGAGTCCAGAAGACTCAAGTTCTAATCCTGCCTTGCTGACTGCCACAGTTTGCTCATCTGTAAAATGGAGCTAATAACAGCACCTACTTCCCAGGGCTGTTGTAAGACTCAAAGGAGATAATATTTGTATAGTGCTGAGCACAGCGCACTTAATAAATACTTGTTTCCTTCTCTCTCTGCATGACAACCTTTCTGCTAGTTGGGGTAACTGAAACCCTCCTATGCTCCAGGCCGTACACCCCCAGTTCCTTCAACAGATCTTGGTAGGATACAATCTCCAGTCCTTTCCCTCTTGTTTGTACCTTAGCTTCTCAATAGCAATATGATTTGTTTTCTAAAAAGAAAAAGAAAAAGAAAAAAAAGCCCCATTTCCATCTTCTTCTAAATTCACAGAATCCGCGTCCACAACGGGGTGGGGGGGACAGATCTGTTGTCCCCTGCTTTGATCGGCCAGACAACAACAAACACGCTGACAAATGGAAGGGGCCCGGGGACGGGGCCCAGGGTGGCAAGGGGACTGCAGGCCACACAGCAGGAGGGTCAATAAAGGAACTGAGGAGAAAGAAAAGCTTTAGTGGGGGGGGGCATGAGCACTGCCTTCACAGACTCGTCATGTGGAAGGGGGATTGTGTTTGTTCTGCTGGGCCCCAGAGAACAGAACAAAGAATAAATGAAGCAAGGTTGCAGGGGGAAGAAATGGCTTTTGGCTCAATAGAAGTTAAAATGTCTAAATAATGAGACGTCTTCCCTGATGGAATGAGTTGCCTTGAGAGGTAGTGAGCTACCCGTCACTAAAATTCATGGGATTATGAGAATTATAACTCAGGAGCTAGGAGGGCCCTCAGAGGCCATCGTAGTCTGACCCTTTCATTTGACAGCTGAGGAAAGTGTAGTCCGGGCAGCTTAAGTAATTTGGCCATGGTCACACAGGTAGTGTCAGAGGTGAAATTCGCACCCAGACCTTCGGTGCTCTTTCCACTGTTATTAGAGATCATTTCTACTGTTTTTAGGTCATTTAGTCTAATTCCTTCATTTTCACAGAAGGAGCAACTCAGGCTCAAAGAGGTCTGGGGGCTTGTCCTCTGACTCCGGGACTTCTGACAGTCCTGACAGCTGGCTGTTGGGGAAAGGGGACTGGCTCTTGGCTTGAGGTGGGGAGGGGTGAAGAGATGCACCTAGAGATGCCTTGGGGGGGCTCTTCCTGCTTTGCCAGGAAGAGACGACGGTTCTTAGATCCCATGAGCCACTCAGCACAGTGACTAGCACACAACACAGTAGGTGCTTAATAAATGCATACCGACTGACTGTTCCAAAAGTCAAAGATGGTCATGTCTCGGTCTTAGCCTAGAATTTCTCTGCCAGCTCTTCTCCAAACCCTGGCAGCAGGGAGCTAGCCAGAGGATCTGACTTACGCCCCTAGAGTCATCTGTCTGTCTGCTTCTACCCTCTCTATTCCCCTGGCTAGGAAGAATAATGAGGCAGGAAGAGGACTGGATTGGGGTCAAATCCTTCCTCTGTTTTGTCTGACCTTGGGCATGACCTCTCTGGGACTCAGTTTCCCTATTTGTAAAATGAAGGACTTGGATCCCTGTGGTTCATTCCAGTCCTGAAAGCTTGGCTTTTCTAACCCCCCACCCCCCCCCACCCCCACCCCCGTCAGCAAGGCTGTGCACCCCTCCTCCTTGGCAGGAATAGCTTTGAATATACAGACCATGCCCTGGGGAGACTTGGAGATCCCCACCCCTCCGGGGCTCCCGCAGTTTCAAATTAAACTTTATTGGGAGCGATTTTCCTGCTTCCATTTTATTTTATTTTATTTTAATTCAGGGAAGAAAAAAAGGTGTTTAAATTAAGTTCCCTTAATATCAGAAAAATTACATTTTTCATTCCAAGACAGGAGTTTCATAAAGATAATTATTGTAATTATTCGTCTTATCTCTCGTGACGAATATTATTTTTATTACAAGCTTTTATCTTTATCTCCCCGGTGAAAGGTGGGGAGAAGGGAAGAGTCATAAAAAGGGGGGGTAGGGAGCTTTGGGGAAAGGGGGGGTCCCTACAGTGCCCCCCCTCAGGCTTTTAGTGGGAGGACATCAGTGTAGGGAGGGCAGAGAGAGGCAAAGTTCCATGGGTCAAGGCCTGCCAAGGTGACAGAGGCCAAGTGCCACATTTTCTATGCACATATGTTCATATACACGGGCTAGCATGTTATCTGACCTGCCAACTACATTCGTGTAGCTACTTGACGATATATGACATGGGGGTGGTGGAATGAGGGGGGAGTCTTAGGGAGAAGAGGGCCCCTAGGGTGCCATAGCCTAGTCTTTAGGGTCACAGGCAAGCTTCCCAAGGTGACATCTGGGTCAAGGGTCACATTCTGCCTATGTGCATATGGATGTATAAAGGGCTAACACGGGCTTCAACACAGTAGAGATATGTGTGTGTGTGTGTTGGGCTGTGTAGGGGTTAACAGTGATACCAGGCTGAAAGGCATGTGTCTGTGCAGGGCCTGAGCCCCACCTATGAGGGCCCCCCTCACTCTCGTGTCCTATATTCAGTGGTTTCTCCCAGCTCTAACATTGTAGGAAATACAGCACATCTCCCCAAACTGGCTTTTAGTACGAGCCAGAAAAAAAAAAAAAAAAAGACTGAATCAGCAACGGGGAATCTTCTACACCCACCCTGAACCCTGCCCTGTACAAGCAGGATGACAGTCAGACAGTCAGATCCATAAACCACCTACTACGTGCTAAGAGCGGAAGATACAAAAGGAGGGAAAACACAGTCCCTCCCCTCACTCAAGGAGCTTGGGAGTTAGCAGGCCACACCCTACCGAGCCCCAAAGCTGAGCGTTTCGGGGAGTCAGCCCTTGTTTTGGGTTATGTCTCTTCTACCAAGAAGCAGCATTTCCCCCGGCCCCAGCAACCAAGCAACACTCCCCCTACTGTGCTGCCTGGTGCCTCATGCCTTTCAGTTCTGGCTGGAGGAGCCTTTCAAGGTATTTAAAAGCAAAGGATTTTAAGAGTGTTGGAGACAGAGCCGGGTTCGAAACCTATTCCTTATACCCTCCCACCTCTTCATTTCTTAGTGGTGGGCTCATGAGCAAGTCAGTTAACCACCGTAAGCTTCAGTTTCTTGATCCGTAAAATGGACATAACGCTTATTGCACCTACCTCAAGGGGTGATTTTTTAGTCTCAAATGAGATGATATGTATATATAAAGTGCTTGAGATTTTGAGTGGGCTACTATGCTTCTGTGGGCCTCAGTTTCTCCATCTGTAAAATGGACATAACGCTTATTGCACCTACCTCAAGGGGTGATTTTTTAGTCTCAAATGAGATGATATGTATATATAAAGTGCTTGAGATTTTGAATAGGCTACTATACTTCTGTGGGCCTCAGTTTCCTCATCTGTAAAATGGACATAATGCCTGTTGCACCTACTTCAAGGGGTGGTTTTTTAGTCTCAAATGAGATGATATGTATATATAAAGTGCTTGAGATTTTGAGTAGGCTACCACGCTTCTGTGGGCGTCAGTTTCCTCATCTATAAAATGGATGTAACAATGTTTGTAGCAGCTATCTCCTGATCTGTCAAATGAGGGAGGACAGACTAGGTGGCATCGAAGGTTTCTCTCAGCTTTAGGTCTGTAAGCCTATGAAGGCTACTCATAGATTTGTGCCTCCCTGCCCTTCCAGCCTCCCCCAAGGGACCCCCACACTCACAGATGTAATAGTAGTCATGTCCCGGCCGGAACTCAAAGCCCAAGGAGAAGGGCGTGAAGAGCTGGAATTTCTCGGAGAACTTGAGGGGCCCATTGGGCGCCATGGGCCGGTTACACTCCCAGCGCTTGAAGCCCTTCTGCCGGTGATCACAGGAAGCGTGGCCCTCGTCATTGACCATGTACAAGACATACTGCTCCATGCGCACGGCTGGGGGCAGCGGCTTCTCATAGTGGGGGCAGTAGATGTCCAGGTAGTCGTTGATACTGACTTCTACTGTGTAATCGCCGTGGTGAAACCTGGCGGGAGAGAGAGAAGGCGGCAATGGTCAGGGGCATGGCCCACAGGTACCCCAGGACTGCCCATGGCTATGGAAATCTGCCCCCTCTGAGATCCCTCATCCGGAGGAGGGTGGCCAGGATAAGGAGCAGACCGGGGATCATGTCCTATAAGAGAAAGATGAATATAAATAATGATAATAATAATGCTTTGTTGTTTGCTGTTTTCAGTCATTGTCTGACACTCCATGACCCCATCTGGGGGTTTTCTTAGCCGAGATACTTGGAGTGGTTTGCCATTTCCTTCTTCAGCTCATTTGACAGATGAGGAAACTGAGGCAAACAGGGTTAAGTGACTTGTCCGGGGGTCACACAGTTAGTGAGTGTCTGAGGTAGGATTTAAACTCGAGCCTACTTGACTCCAAGCCCAGTGCTCTACCCACCTGTGACACCTGGCTGCCTAGCTGTGAGGAAAACCATCACCTGCGCTTTCAGCCTGGGAGACACAGGGAGACCCAGGCTTAAAAAAAAAAGCCAGTCACATACGCCTTCTGACCCTAAGATCCTATGCAGAGGAACTGACGTGGTCAAGTACTGTGTGCTGGGCACCATGCTAGGTACTGGGGACACAAGGACAAAGGTGAAAGGCTTTGCCTTCAGGGACCTTCCACTCTGAACTACATGTGCATAGCTAAATAACTTGAGGAGTGAGAGAGTGGTAACTGGAGAGATCCAGGCCGGCTTCATGGAGGAGGAAGCTCCTGGGCTGAGTCTTGAAAGAAGAGAATTTCCAGAGATGGAGAAGAGGTGGGAGGGTATCCCAAGGCATTCCAAGGTATGGTGCCTGAAAGGGGATACATAAGGCTGCAAAGACAGGCAGAAGCCAGGTCATGGAGGGCCTCGAATGGCAGACTGAGTAGTCTGTATCTGAAGCCCAGAGGCAACCAGGAGCCATTGGAGAATTCTGAGCAGGGTAGAGAGAGTCAGAGGTGTGCCTTAGGAACGTGGTTTTGATACCTCTGTGGAGGATGGCCTGGAGAGGGCAGAAAGATAGCCCACGCAGGAAGAGAAGAGAGCCAAAGGAAGGTCGTGCCAGCCCAGGGGCCGAATCTTGTCCACTCTACCTGGAGAGCGCTCCCATATCCCCCTTCCCCTACTCACAAGGCCAGCGCCATAATTTACCACCTCTACCCGGCTTGGAGTGGCAGCCCCCATTTGCTCTGCCCTAGGTGTCTCCCCTCTCTGATCCAACAGGATCGGTCTTGGGGAACTGGGCTGGGAACAAATGTCCCATCCCTGTGAAAACTGGCGAGCTACAACCCTGAGGCCAGATGTTTGGGGATGCTCAAGCCAAATGCTAAAGGAGCCCCAGATGTTCAGGGGCTCCGGAGCCAAACGTTTGGGGCCCCCTCCGTCCAGCTGTTTGAGGCACCATGAAGCCAGATGTGCGGTCCTCTTTGACCATTTGTTAATCAAAAGTGGCTCTGCTCTCAGCCCCGGGGGTGGGGTGGGGAGGAGAGAAGACAGAGAAAGTCCTTAATGCCAGGGAGGGAGGAGGTCGCCTCAGTGGAATAAACCGGTAGGCCAGGACTCAGACCTGTCTGACCGGATCACACTCCTGGGTGAACCAGAGACGGGATGATACAGGGTGGGGGGAGGGGGTGACGGGGAAAGCCTGGGGGGAAAGTGTGGTTTCTTAGGACAAACCATGAAGTTGGAATCTACAGATCTACTGTGTGACCCAGGATGAGACATCCACTCTCTGAGCCTGCTTCCTCTGGAGATGATAACACGGAGGCCACCCACCTAGGAGCTCTGTGGAAAGGGAATCCAAGGCCCGAACTGAACTGAACCGGGCAGGGGAAATCCCAGGCATCTATTGCCCTCCCAGCCTCCCTTGGGGTTTGGTGCAGATGTGGCCAGTGACAGCCTGTGCACAGACCACCTCTGTCTGACTGTGAGCTGTCTGACTGTGTGCAGTCAAGACCTCAGGGTGGCCCCACCTGCCCCAGAGAGCACCCCCAAGGAAGGCTGAGGGCCAAGACAATGGGCTCCCCAGGCTGCTGATGCTTTGGCTGGGCCCAAAGCTTCTGGACCTGAGCATCCAGACTCCTGCTGGGGGACTGCTGAGGGCGGGCATCTCTTAGGCTAAAGCTGCCCAAAAGTATCCTGGAAAAACCGAAAGGAGCCTTTGGTCAGGAAATCATGATACCGATGCTGAGAACATGATATGACCTCCTCAAAAACTCTGATATGAGTGCACTTACAAATGCACAGGCAAGTGTAAAGATTAGCTACCAAAGTGGATGGAAAGCTGGACGTGGAGCTGGGAAAACGTGAGTTCAAAGCCCAGCCCAGATATTTACTATGGGTGTCATACTGGGCATGTCACTTAAGCTTTCTGGCCTCAGTCTCCTCATCTGCAAAATGGAAGCAAAAAGAACACCCACCTCCCAGGATTGTTGTAAAGCTCTAACATCTGCAAAATGCTTTCCAAAACCTAAAACGCTACATAAATGCTGCCTTTATTATTATTAAAGTCAGAGGAAGAGTTCATGCATTAAACATCTGGGATCCCAAGTTCAATTTCTGGCACCTCCAAATGGGTTTTCAGGCAACCAGGTGGAATGATGGTGGATAGAATGTTGGCCTTGAAGTCAGGAAGACCTGAGTTCAAATGCTGCCTCAGACACCCCTTGGAAAAGTCAATTAACCTCCGTCAGCCTGTTTCCTCATCTGTAAAATGAAGAAAGTGGCTTTGAAGGGACATTCTAGCTCTCCATCTATGAACCTGTGTGTAAGAACATATATACATATATACACTAATCTAATTCAGAAGGAAGATTCAGGGCACCGTGGGAAGTGAGGACGGATACATGGGAGTTTCATTTTTCTCTTCTGCCTAACTATAGATTGCAGAAGATCCAATAGGATAATATATGTACAGTGCTTTGCAAACCTTAACATGCTACAGAAATGCTAACAATTGTTGTTCTAATAATAATAAAAAGTATTATTACTATCATTAAAGGAAGATCATTGAACAGCAGAGCTGAAACTAGGAATTATCACCCCTGGAACAGAGGATGGCCCCACCTGCAGTAGTCGTAGGGATGGGGGGGGGGGGCGGTTCTTCATCAACCTTAAGTCCTAAGAGTTCAGCAGTCATCTCTACTGGAAGCATAGGGAAAGTTAGATCTGGGAGTATGCTGGTAAATATTTAACAATCAGGTCTTCTCCCAAAAAATGTATACGACACACTTTTAAGCTTAAGGTGCAATATTAACATTTTCTCCATCACTTTCTTAAGTCTAGACAATCAGCTAAATAATAAATCAAGCTCTGATTTACAGCATTTGCAGATTTCTGGGATGTAAATGCTCACATTGATAATTTAACAACAGCCTCATTCGCACCCCTCTGAGTGGATCCCAGGAGAGGGGTGTCATGGTGACAAGATCCTGAGATGGGGGGGCCAGGCTGACTGAACAATGTGCAGGTGGAGAAGCCAGTGCTTAGGGGCAAAGCCCCATTCCCCCAATCCCTGTTACAGCTTAGTTTCCACATCATCTGCCTTTTTTGTTTGTTTTTGTTTTATCAATTTTTAAAATTTGTAAATCATACTTTCCTACAAGGTCACAGTTATACTTAAGAGCTACATTCCCAACCATGGACTCTATATCCAAAATGATGTGACCAATAGCCATATTTCCTTATCCATAATAATCTGAAATATTAAAATCATGCTTCCAGTCCTACATAAATGGGCATAAATTTACTATACGTATATTGATTATCACTAAGCTTCTATTAGGCCTCAGTATCCTCACTTCTAACATGAAAAAATTCAATTATGTGGTCTTCAAGTTTTGGCATTGTTCTGTGTTCTAGCTCTGATATTATATTCTGAAATCCCTTCCAGTTCAAACATTCTGCGTTCCAATTTCTAAGGTCCCTTCCAACATTCTCTGTTCTGTGTTATAAGGTCACTCCTAAATTTTTTTTTCTTCTCTCCTCGATTCCAACTAGCCCTCCCTCAATGTCTCCAGACCCAAATTCTCTCCTGAGCTGCTGATTCATACTCCTAGGTACCTCAAGGGGGACCTTTCTACTTTTACCTCAAACTCCAAATGAAATGTCCCAAACCAGACTCACTTTCTGCACCAAAGCCCAGCTCAGGCACTTACTCTATGCAGGATTTGGAAAGTTGGTCACTTTATTCTCAGGAATCCTGCTTCCTCAGTTGAAAATAAGGGGGATGGATGAGGTGGTCTCTGATCTCCTTTTCACCTCCAAATCTAGGCCCTATAATCTGGCCTCCTCCAGATTTCTATGTCTGGTACAGGGAATCACCACCCTCCTCATCCTCCCTAGACTCAGACTTTTACTTAGCCAACAATAAAAAACCAAAGAGTGATCTAGGTTGAAGGGACTTTGGCACATAAAACAGAGACTATCAGTGCTAGAAGGAGCCTTAGAACAGAGAACAGAATGTCAGAGCAAATAAAAGTTTAGAATCTAGATCAGAGCGTGAGAGCCAGGAAAGAACTTAGAACATGGAATGTCAGAGCTGGGAGAGCCCTTAGAGCAGAAAATGTCAGAGTTAGAGAGGGCCCTTAGAACATGGAATGTCAGAGATGGGAGGGCCTTTAGAACATATGATGTCAGAGCTAGGAGGGCCCTTAGAACACAGAATGTCAGAGCTGGGAGGACCCTTAGAACACAGGATATCAGAGCTGGGAGGACCCTTAGAACACAGGATGTCAGAGCTGGGAGGGCTCTTAGGACACAATGTCAGAGCTGGGAGGGCCTTTAGAACACAGGATGTCAGAGCTGGGAGGGCCCTAGAACACAGGATGTCAGAGCTGGGAGGGCCCTTAGGACACAGCCTACCTTTCCAGACTTATTCCACACTACTCCCCTTCCTGCACTCTGTTCTAGCCAAGCTGACCTACGAGTCAGCTGTCCTTCACACAGGACAGTCCACCTCAAACCTCTTCACCTCTCTCTCTCTCTTAGGA